CTTTTTATTTTAGGTAAGATGGTTAAACAGCGTCCAGCAGTTCTGCCTCTGCAGGCGGGTTTCTTATGGTTCTGACCCTTTCACACTTAAATTGTAATTAATGATTACATCCTGTATAAATGAAAACAAATTATTTCTGCAAACAACAACCTGGGAAGTGAAAGACTAACATAGTTCACATCACCATCTGTTCTTCTGAACTGTGGAGTACTTCAAGGCTCTCTCCTGGGCCCCCCTGGGTTGTGGACTTCATATCTGTGCCTTTTCATTTGTGCATCTTCACTGCAACCATCGATAAGGGCATAAACGCTAAAAAAATGCTCCTTACAGATAATTATTAAGCCAGTTAGTTGTCTGTTTCTGTAACGTTTTGTAGTTGATACCCTACCAAAGTGTAAAGTTGGTCCAGCTATGGAAGTTTAAAAAGCTTGTTTTTCACATGAAGCTGATTCTATGGACACACGGTTGCTCGTCTGTACAGATGCTGCTGCAGCTACCATTAAACTATATGCATGTATAAATAAAAACAATCATCTTTACTAACAAGTATTTTATGGGCGGTTAAGTCCTCTGTCCTTCCACTGGGCTATAGACTAACATATTGTTGGACTAAGTGGCATTTTCCTTTTCATAATCATTACAACAACGTTCTGTCTGATTCTTCAGTTAGTTTTGTTTTTCTACTTTGCTGTACGTTGAAGTCATGTGGTAAGCTACCTGTCAATTTCATTTTCTCATGACATTTTTTCACCTTATTGTATTACTCTGTAATGCACAACTCAGAATACAAAGATCAGCATCGTCTGTCTCGGTCCCGTCTCCAATCTGACAGAGTGCCATTGAAATCTGTCTCCCGGACTTTGTGAAAGGAAACTAGACGACTTATGACAGATCTGAATCAGTCTTTTTATTTTTTTCACACAGACTAAATATGACATAGCTCGTCTCTTTCCTTAATCAACAAAAAGGTCTTCAGACTGTCTGGTGATTGTGTCGAGCTGCTTGAAGTACAAAACTGCGTCTCAGTTTTCAGAGCAGATATTGTCATTTATCCTAAATCGATCTTTCTGTTTGCTGATCATAACAGTTCTACTGCCTCTTCTGTTTTATTTTTATTTTTGCTTTTTTACTCAGTTTGTGTTTTATTTTATTGCACAAATATCAGCACAAAAGTTCTGGGGATTGCATTCTGACACAGGAGACGTACCCGCCAGTAGCAGCATGTACGTGGCCAGAGCCCACATTCAGTCTGGGTGTGTACGCGGTGCTTTAAAGCCCCGGGGCAGATTTGTGAAAGTGCTGACGTGGCGGGGGCCAGGCCAGCCATTGTGTGACGGCAGCATGTTCTGCCTGAGCCGGGGACATTTTTCACGCAGGGGCTGACTGACCTTTCAAACAGCATTTGGATTTGGACACACTCCAGATGAAGAGAGGCCCCAGCCATGTATGTACAAGCCGCTCGTTTGGACACAATGACCCGGGACCGCATGGTAAACATAAGCTCACCCACCCTGAAACCCTGAAGCCGGCACGGCCCAACAGCACGGGACGACTGTGAGCTGCACGGTGGTCACGTGACAACAGCACGGGCTGAAAGGAAACTGGAAGGATTTAAGTTACTGATTATCTCTGTCTATGAAAGTCACATATTTCAATTCTTTACCACTAAAACTACCCCTTCTGCCCTAAAATCAGACGTAACAACAGCATTGCGTCCTCTTGGATGTGCAGATCTACAAGGCTCTATCTCACCTCACCCCTCCCCATAGCAGCTCGAGCACTCCTGCTCACCTGCTCGGCTAGTGGTAGTTACACTGTGAGTAGTCCCCATGGTTTCTCTAGATATCTACAACCCTGTTTGACTCGTCAAACTGACAGCTGGAATTCAATAGTTTATTTCACTCACGATGTCTCTTCTAGCATAATAAAAACCAGCATATAGACATATTAACCAGGCAAAAGATCTTTCAATACAACGTTCTGCTGTCCACTTCACAGCTTCACCTTTGCTGTTCCTTCGTGTTTGGAGCAAACTAGTTAGATTGAATTCAAGCAGGGACTGAATTATTCTCATCAAGTCCTCATATCCTAAAGACCACCAGTTTTATACCAACATTTTGCAGAACATTTTAACCACTAACAGCGTGTAGAAATAGTTAGCGTGTGCAAGTTTTACCATCTTATGTGGCATTTGTGCAAAGACTATTTTAGTATACAGTCGTGAGTCGATGATCCGACACTAAATGTAAAACCTTCTTTTATGTCGGATTGTCAAGGCTGTCGGATTGTCCAGACGGAGGTCCAGATACGAGGAGGGCTTGATGCTGGAAGGCTCATTAGTTGTTCATTATTGTTCATAGTTGTTATAATAACTAGTGTGTTGTTAGGACACTACGCATTGCTGGATTTCAGTCTAACTAACCGGTATGATTGTGTACGTTCCGGCCACGGGGTGGAAGTGTCCAGAACACACAGGCAGTACTTGGCTGCTGATGCTAGTTTAGTTAGCGCTCACACTTCTGTTTCCTCCATCGGTGGCGGCGGGGGAGTGGCAGATACGCTCCACCGTTACCATCCATGTTTACTTCCATAAACACTGAGCACGCTCGCTGCGTGTGACGTCGTCGTGTCCTCTTCTGCGCATGCGGGACACTTTTGGCTCGTATGAAGTTCACACAGCAGATCACATACAAGTCGCATTGAAGTGGAAACGTGAAGGAAGTCACAAAGAAATCCTCATTGAGCATCAAGTCCTGCAGTGTGAACGTAGCCAATCTGTGGGATTGTTCAGTCAGATAATACGCCGTCATCCTGATTGGTGACATTAAATGTCATGTTGGAGTCACAATCCAAGGCTGTCGCTATGTTAAGGCTGTTTTTATGGGTTCTGTTGGTTTTTCCTACAAACCTGTCAGATAGCAGGTTTAGGATTGTTAAGGGTCAGATTATTGAGTCATGACTGACATATTTTATATCACCATCACATAGGATTACTGTAGGCATATACTAATATATAGTAGCACACACAAAGCTAGCAAAGTAGCTCTCATGACCCTGTTGGAAGGCGTCGTGACTCTCTGAATTACCTCCAGGTAGAGGTTCCCAACCTATTAAGAGCAATCAGTCAAAAATAGCTGCTACGGGAGAGGTCATTCAGGTGCCTTTTTAATGATTCATTCTTTGCTAACTGTAGGCGTCACGCTGCAGCCAGTTGTTAAAAATCCGTGTTTTTGTCGGAGCTGTTGTTGCTGGCAGCGTTGGTGGAGGTGTGAACAGCTGAGCTTTGTTGTTCCTGCTCTCTGTGTTTGCTGTTCTGCGGCCAGTGAGTTCAAGACGTGTTTCCTCCAGCCCCGTCCTGCACTTCAGAGTCAGGAAAGAGGAGGAGGAGGAACGGGGGTGTTGAGCTCTGGGCGAGGGACAGCTGAACAAACAGAGGGAACAGAGAGCGAGAGAGACGAACAGGAGGGGGGGGAGAAACTCTGAGTTTTTCTCCGAGTGTGCCACGTAATTTGAGCAAACCCATTAATCTCGGGCCACTGGCTCTTCGGGCCCTCTGGGTGTTGAGTTTCGGTGACAGATGAAAAGAAATGAGCTGGCTCGGCTGGAATCTGAAGCTGACCTCACGCCAGAGATGAACTGGCCTGAGAGACAGAGGGAGAGGGCGGAGGTCTGGATCTGGTTTGGATTGGCCGCCTGATTGGTTGGCAGACATCAAAAGGCTCAGCAGACCAAAGGCTCGCAGACATTTTTGTGTCAAGAAGTTTTAACCCGTCCGAGGCTTTATTTGTTTGTAGGAAAGCGACGCTGCTCTGCTTTTTTAAATAAAGACTAAATTTAAAGTGGCTTTTCCTCCCCAGCGGAGCACCTCAGGGCCCATTCAGGGGCTCCTCGTGGTTCTCAAACCGATGCACTCTTTACAGCTCGAGCGTTTGTCCAGTGCTGCGTCCCACCTTTGCACTGTCCTCATCACGCTCCTTTCTCTACTGAAGGTTCACTTTAATGCACAGCAGCTCGGTAACCGGGGATGAATTTAAATATTTAAAACTGACCAGACGTACTTGGAGACCAAACATTCATTGTTTTTATTCCCAGAATGTGTCTGTAGTATTTCCGACAGCTCACGATGGACTCTCGCCTACTTACCTTTTGATCATCTGAACCACAACCAGTCTGGACTTAAGACAGTTCGCAAAGTCCTCGTACATCTGCTCGTGTTTAGACGGCTACGTTTGTGGTTTTAGTTTTAGTACTGAAACTTATCATCAAATTCTCAGAAAAGTAAAGCGGACACTCAGTCCAGTAGGTTTGGTTGTTTGTCTTCACAAGGTAGGATTTTTTTGAGAGTCAGTTTGTGAGTAAAAGCCGGTCTTGGATCTCCAGTAGTTGTGTCTGGAGCTCTTCAGTGGTCCACGACACCGCTGGGAGCAACAGTTCAAAGTCAGTAAAAGCCCCCGACAACAAAGACTGCACAGTTACGCAAGGACTGTAACACAACTGTGTAGCCCTGGCTCTTCTATTAAAAACACTTCACGGTTTTACTTTATTACTCTGCCGAGGAAACGCTGCAGTTTTTACTATGCGTCACTAACGGCTCCAGCAGCAGGAGGACGGACGACATCCCAACACCTCAAGTCACTCCCAGTCATTCTTTAAATTCACTTTAGCAAACCGGTTTTGCAGAACTTAAATGCTGCTTCAGTTTTTCCCATCACCACAAGAAGAAGAAATGCAGCCGGATCCTTCTGGGTCATTACTGCAACTATCCAAACACCTTCAGTGTACAAGCAGAATGATGTTGAATAACTCAGGAGAAAAGTCTGAAAGTCCGACTGACTTCTGGAAGTTTTAAGACCCGTTTACTGCAGATTACAAACACACGTTGGAGGAATTTCATCAGTGAAAAGGAGCCGTTGCGTAATCAACACCGCTGCTGACCTATATAGTCTAAAGACCGATTTAATCTCACTGCAAGAAACCAAAACATTACGAAACCTCTCGAGTCCAATTTTAGACCTTGTTTTTATTGTTTCAGAACGATGCACGGAGCCTTTTGGAGCCAAACACAGAACCAGTAAAGCTCAACCTTCTTCATTTTTCATTCCTGAAAATGGTGAAAAATTCTTTGCAAACTTTCCCCAAACCTGACGTCTCTAAAATGCTGTTTTTAGAGATCCAAAGACGACCAGAAGGCTTCAGCCTGACAATGTGACTTTTTTTTTTGTGCTTAATGTAAAGAAGAAAGCTTAAAAAATATTTCCATTTCCATCTCCTCCGGGGCTCCCGTCGAGATTTTTGCGACAACAAAGAACAGATTTCTGTACAGTTCAACGTGCTGGCAGGAGAGGCTGAAACCCGAGTCGGCCTGTAAACAGACCGTCTGCGGTGGAAGCAGGGAGCTCAGGGGTTTTTTTTTTCCTCTCTGAATGGCGGCTGAAAGCGATGGGCCCCCAGCATAAACACACACAGGCCCCCATTCATCCACTTACTGTGTGATCGGCCTCGAACACTGGAAGGCGTGTTATTGCAGCAGAGATGGGGGGAGGAGACGGAGAGGAAGACCGGAGGGAGGGAGGACGGTGACTCAGGAATTCCACTGAGGAGCACGTGACCCCTGAGCAAGGCATTTATATCCCCCTGCCCCCCTCCGGCTCTCTCCGGGGCTAAGGTCCCTCCTTGTTATGCTTCTTCCTCAAGTCAAAACCAGTCAAATGTGACGGAGAGAGAATATCCACCAGCAAAAACTTGCAGAGAATTTGAACTCAAAAATAGAACCGAAGCACCAAATACATGCTGTAAGATGAGGAGCGGGGAGTGAGGGGGAAAAAAAAAAAAAAAACAGACACAGTAAGCGAGATTTAAGCCTTATCCAAATCCACGCCGACAGCAACCATTTTGTCTGATGAAGCAGGTTTGTTGTGGAGCTACACGCCTGTTTGGATTCGTTCCCCCGGGGACCAAAACAGAGCCCCGCGGCGGCTCTGTCATCCTGACAGCATGACGGGGAGTTATGTGGAAAAACCAGTGACAGGCTGCTCTCTCAGCTTCCGTTGTAAGAGTCCCAGCGTACCGCCGCCGCCGCCACCGCTCATGACCTCATGTCTCCAGTATGTTTTCACTGGAATCAGGGCGTGGGTTCAGGCAGCAACAGCCGCCGATCTGCTGCCAGCGTTTGTACGAGAGGCGGCTGATGAGCTGATTCTGTGCAATGAGGGAGTGTTAGTCAGCAACACGAGGAGGAAAAACGTCTAGATCCAGACATGTCAACAATGGATTAGAGTCGAAACACAGTGTGGCAGAGGACATGTGACGCACCGGGAGAGTTGTTTTGACACGAACAAACGCATCAGCCGGCGTCGCTTTAAAGCCACGCGCAGCGCATTTTCACAGACGACTATTTTTAGGCCCTCTTATCTCTCAACACTCGCAGGACACGAGGCCTCGGTGGCGAGAAGCCTCGGCCCGCCCACATGTGATTTACTGTACACAGCGTTTATGCAACACACCGCTACCCCAGCCTTCACCCCCTCCCTCCTCGTCCAGCTATCTCTCCTTGACTTTTTCTTTCCACCCACTCTTCCCTGGAGGCCAGTTTGTTCCTGCTGGGAGGTATTGCATCATGGCTGATTCACAATCAGGCCATGACTCTCCAACTGACTCCTGGCTCGCTGGTTATGGAAAATAAGTAAAGCACAGAGACACTGGCGTTATTATTACAAGGTCTGAAACTGTATTTGGCAAGTTTTTTTCTTAAACAAGTGCATACATGTACAGCTAGAAGCATTTTTCTTTGCCTTTTTATTAATAATTTTTGCCAAGTGCTTGGATTAGTCACATTCTATGTTTGACAGAGACTGTCTCCAGACCCTAAGGTACATCGATAGATTAAAAAAAAAAACAAAAAAAAAAAAACATGTGTGATGGCAAAAAGTCTGTTATGAGGAGTACATACCTTTTTATCGTCAAAAATATAGAAACACAATGTACTGAAAAAGAAAAATCAAAAAAATTATACAACCATGTTTATGAAGTATACACTTCCCTTGTGTCCAATATGTACATGTCCGTCAGTTTCTCTGGGGCTTGGCGGGTGATGTATGTTTGGGTTTGTGTGTGTTACCTAATGTCCTGCTGTTGTTGCCGTAGTTGTGTTACAAGAGAAAAACGTTCAAGAAAAAGAGCTGGTGACCGTCTTAAGGGTCCCTCTCCTTTTTGACCTTTATGTCCCCAGCCAAGATGGTGGCTATTTCCCCCTGCATGAATGCCCAGGGCACATTGGAGCCCACCAGCGGGCACCGCTCGCCGCTGGGGCAGTACACCTCACCGGTGGCGCCTTGCTGCTTGATGCTCTCCCGAGAGCAGGGGAAGCAGAACTTGTGGGAGGGCACAGACGGGCACTGGACGAAGTGAGTGTCCTCCAGCCGCTCGTGGCACAGAGTACAGCACAGCGGCACGCTGCCAGGCGGCACGGAAGAGTCTGGAATGCTCTGCGGCAGCGGTGGCGGCGCATGGGGGTCCATGCCACCAGGCACGTGTGGTGCAGCAGGGTTGGCACCCACAGGACCCTCCCTCTGGGCCAGCCTCCTCTGAGAGGCCGAGGAGGGCGACAAGGGGCTACCACTGTTCCGCCGTGCGCCCGCCGTGGTGGAGTGTACCTGGTTGCCGTCCTTAGGTGAGCCCGTGCTGCCTGCATTGTCAGTGGCCAGGATGAGGGCAGCCATGGGGGACTGGCCATTCTGCGCTGTGGCGGCCTCTGGGGGAGTGGTGCGGGAGTGTGGGGAGATGGTGGAGGGGGGAGCCGCCGAGAAGCCTGGCAGGGCGGCTGGGGGCATCTTCAGGACCTCGGAGGGTGAGGGGAGCCAGGGCTGACCCTCGCTGCCATTCATCTTGGAGGCGCTGCTTTCACCGTCTGGCTCCGGGGAGGCCTTCCTCTTCCCAGGGCGAGGGTGCTTCCCCCTGTCTGTGGCAGAGGAAGAGGCAGGGTTACTACTGCACACACAAACACACTGAACACTCACACGGGACCCTTCTCCCCACACGCTGAATAAAGGTGCTTTCATGCCGCTGTTGTTCTCTGCCAGCCCGCCGCGTGCACAAAGGTGAACACATGGAGCAGCGCGAGGACAAAACGCTGACACGTCATGTCAGCCGCAGCACGAGCAGCTGGCCTACCTGTTTTAGAGGAAGTGGCACTCGTCTCGTACGCCATCACCCGCTGCATGGCGGCGTGCTCCTTCTTGAACCCGAACGTGTGCAGCGCCATCAGGTCCCGGACGGTCTTGCCTTTGCCTATCCACTCCTTGTGGCCGTCTGACATGTCGGACAGGCTGTCCGGCCTGTGCTTGTCTTTCAGCTCCTCCGGACGCTTACCGTGCTCCCCGGGGCCAGGCGCGACCAGAGCCCCAGGAAGACCCATCTGCGTCGGTCGGCCGTTGAGCGGATGTACAGCCGATATGCCGCCGTTCACCAGCGGCACCAGGCTGGGAGGAACCGTGTTAGTCCTGCGGGGGTTGGGGCTCTGGCGGTTCAGTTCCGGAGGCTCGTCGGGTTTAGGAAATCCATTCGGCACGGGAAGGCCGTTCGCCTGCCTGCCCGCCTGGTACTCCGGTCCCAGGCGGGGCGGCCGGTCGGACAGCGGGTAGCGGTCCAGGGGCTGTGGCGGACGCGAGCCCGGGTCTCCAGCCGAGTGGTTCATGTCCTTCCCGGCATGCTGGGGCTTCCCTGGGCCCGGAGAGCGGCCCTCCTGAAAGCCGTGCGCTCTCTTCAGCTGCCGGGCGGTCTCGATTACAAATTCAATCCGGTCTGCACCCTCGTAGTTGACACATCCGCGGCACACGGGCTCGGTAAAATCCCAGATCATCGCCCACGGCATGCGTGGCAGGTCGCACAGATAGCAGGACTGCCTTCTGGAGGCAGCGACCGCTGCGGAGGACATGTTGTAACCCCGAGGCGGCTGGAAAACGCTCCAAAATGTCGTCGGTTTGTTTACGTGGCTGCGGGAGAAAGAAATAACCCAGAAAAAGAGTGAAGGTCGGCGTTAATTCCCGTCAAACGGCGGCAGAGTCGCACCGACCGGAGCTCATCGTCGCTGTGTCCGCTGCCTCGGCGCGCCTCCGTCTGAGCTCGCGCTTACAACTCAGCCCGAGCTTTGCTGGGGCTGTGACGTCAGCCCGACACTGGGCTCGTGCTCCGGGCTTCTATTTACTGGATTCTTCGACGACCCCTCGGGCGCATGTTCACCGGAGAGCTGACGCGCACAGATCGTGTGTGTCCGCGAAGAGGCTTCACTGTCACCACCGCTCAGAAGCCGGCCGTCGCCTCAGCAGAGACCTCGCCGTGGGCCGGTACGAGAGCCGGCAGGAAACAACACCGCGCTAAAAATAGAAAGTCCTAAAAGCTGAGGCAATAGGTCAAAAGTGGTTTTAATTAAAGGTAAACAAAAATGTAAAAGTAATATAGCTATAAAGAATAATATGACACAGTGATAGGAGACAATAGTCAAAAAATAAATTAATAAAAAAAAGCATTACAGCCATAGAAACCCTGCAGGCTTCAAAGAACAATTTACATTAACCAGCTGATTTCAAAGGTGATATGTAGTCAATACAATTAAACAACACACACACACACACACACACACACACACACACACTTAACAAGCTTCCATATGTAGGTTTCTGTGACACAGAGGTTTAAGAGTAATAATCATTTACTTGAAGTTGGAGCCAGAGTGAGTGCTCCTCTTTTATTTCTCATCTTTGCTCGCATGGAGCCAAAGAACTTTTATAAATATCAAAACCCAAAGCAGGGAGTCCAGTTGACGGTCTGCAGACTCCTCCAGGAGAGCAACCAGTGGACTAACCACAGGCTTAATTTTGGAAAACAAATTAGAGTGTCTTTATTTCTTTTCTTTCCCGAATAATTTTTTTGTATGAAAAACGATAATAATAATAACAGCAACAAAACAAAAAAACGTTATTCCCCACTGAGCGCACATGGAAAATAATGCATTTCGGTGTGTATGTAAAATGTGGAGTTTGAAGTGTGTGCAGAGTTGAAGCAGCACCTGCTGCTCGCTGCTCTGTCCTTCTGTTGCATTCCTGTCCTGCTGCCAGGCACGCGTGACGTCTCAGTGCGAGCAGCCAATCCCAGAATTCGACTGCTGTTACCAGGCAGACTGTAAATCTCCCGCCGTCCATTCAGCTGAGCTGACTGTAAACAAACGGAGTCCTGCACCTTGAAAACATAAAACCGCTCCGACTGCTGTTTCCTCTTTCTTCACACACCCTGCTGCACAAAAAGCACTTTAATGAGCTGAACCATTATGATATTTATCATTCCTAACTTTTTTGTGTCCATTATCCAACTCAGTCCTGTGTGTTGTTATTTTTTTGTATTTGTTTTGTAATTACTTTTGATCATTTAAAGCTGTTTTATCTGATTTGAAATTGAAGACTGTACATCTGTTATATATGTATTTTCCTTCATGATTTTAAGATTTATTTTTATTTGAACTGGTTTATTATAGGCTCTTTTTGCTGGGGATTTTATCTTCTTCTAATTTTTTTTCAGTGTCTGGTGTATTTAGCACATTCAGCTAACGTTGCATTAAAGTGATCTTTGCTTACAAAGAAACAGAAAATTATGAGAAAATGTCTCTGTGCAATGGCACACCATTTATAACACTGTGTACTGTCGTTTTTTCTACTTATGTTTGTCTATATATAGTTTTTTCTGGTTTATTGTTCCACTCTGGGCTGCACGGTGGTTAGCGCTGTCGCCTTGCAGCTAGAAGATTCCCAGTCCGCTTCCCAGTTAGGACACCCAGGATCTTTGTGTGTGGAGTTCAATTCATTTTAATTCAACTTTATTTGTATAGCGCAGTTTACAACATATGTCATCACATAGCGCCTAACATAGTAAGGTACAGACCTTACACATTAAGTTTCCCCTGAGTTTGAGTTTGCATGTTCTCATTTGTTAAACAGCACCAGATACAACAAAAACGATGGGAAGGAAGGAATGTTGGGCCTGATGATGGCTTTATACGCTGTTAGCAGTCATTAGGGTCATGGTTAGGAAATATTTTGACAGTAACTCAGTCTGAACTTTCACTGATTTTCCGTCTGCTCCGCCTGTTATGCTGGTAATGGCATAGTAAAGCAGTGACAGAAAATAGCTTCAATAGCCAGATTGTGCTGTAAAGGTCAAAAAACATGATGATCTGAAAATGAACTGTGATAACGTCTGGCCATCTCTGGCTCACGACCAGGATCAGTGTACTCAGCTGGACAGAGGCCCTTAACCTCTTGTCTCTCCTTTTGGGTTTCACAGCATCACGACATGTCCTGCCTCACTCACCGAGTCAGCTGATGCAAAGAGAGAGAGAGGAAGAGGAAGTGAGAGAGAGGAGGCAGGCACGGCAAACAATGCATCTTGTTTTTTCAGTGTGGCCTCGGCCGCTGCAGGCAAATATGAAAGAGCAGCCGACTGTTTGCAGACAAACGTCAAAACATCAGGTGTGTTTAGTCAAATCTTTGGTAGGAAAGAAAGGATAACAGAGAGCAACATGAGGTTTAATTTCAATTAAATCTCCTCCTTTCAAAGACACTTAAACAGGCAAATTTACATCAGAGTCTTGTGTTTAAGCCAAACTCCCTGATCTCTGTTCTGGTCTTAGCTTCAAAATACCTACATATATGTATAACTGATCATTTATTAAAGTAACTGTGCCGTGGGGAAAAGGTTTGGTTAGCTATAGCAGTAAAATTCCTGGATTTGGTTTAAAATAACTAGTGTGTTAGGTTAACAGACATTTGTGGTCAAGGTTACAAGAGAAAACACGCAGCGAAGGTCATGACCTGTTATGGTTACAACAAACAATACAGATGATCGGTTTGAAATGAGAGACAAACAGCCGTCACCTGCTGGGTTAAAGCTTTGTCAAACCATCCATCTACCTTGACATCCCTGCTTTCTCTCAGCAAACGTAGCTCATCCAGCTTGTTGTGGAGGGAGCGGACATTGGAGAGCAGGAGGACGGTCCTGCTGGTCTGGAGGGGTTAGCCGTTAGCCTAGCATGGATCCCGGCTCTCTTCCTCCTCCTTTGTTTACGTTCGTACCGCTTCCTTCTTTCTCGGGTAACTGCCGGCGTCGTCTCCGATCGGACTCCGTGTTGGTGGAGTATGTCCACATCCCAACCGAATTCCGGCGCCATTCTTTGTCCTGATACTCAGCAAAGTCTCTCAGCTTCAAGTTTTGCAGAATGAACGTCTGGAGTCGACAAGACATGAACAGAGTTTTCAGCGTAAGTCATATACGAGTTAGTCATTTAGACAGTTGGATAAACTGCTGTTAGTTTAGATTTCGTCTTTATTCGTGCATTGTTCTACAAGCCTTGCAGTACCGTGTAATCTTTTATGAAAGACAAATATCACTTCATGTGGATCCCTGCACCACTGTGGGTTGTATGTCCAACTGAAGCTGCAAAGAACATGGATTTAAAAGTGACCTATGCCTGAATGCCAGAATGCAGTCACTTCAACAGACTGATCGAGCAGCAATGTTACGTATCCACTGTGAAAAGGGCTTTTGTGAGTTGACAGCAGACTGTCAGGAGGGTAAGAATGTCCCAGATGTCAGATAAGGACAACTACATATCAATTACTAACATAGTGGCCAAAGGTGGAACTGCAGGTCATGTGATTTTATTTGTATTTTTTGGCTCATTAAAGTGATGGTAAGCCCCTGTGAGGGCTTCTCCTCATGACCCCCTGGCTCCACTACCCCCGTGACCCCCCCTATAAATCTGAGTCAGCTGATGATCATCCGGTCACTGCCTCCCACGGCGTGGAGGGGAGGGGAACAACCTCTGTGTGGTTTTACTTCCCAAATGGAAACACAAACATAAACTGACAGCATGTTTGGCATTTCCCACATCAGTCACTGAGCACTGAAGTCCACACAGGACACATACAGATTGTGCTGTTTTCCCATTTGAAGGTCTTAAAACTTCACTCCGTCTGCAGCCCAGACAAGGAAACATCTGAGCAGAGATGTTCACAGTGTTTGTTGTTTGTTGGAGGTTTTTGATGATAATGGGCTCAGAATTTTTATGTGCCACTAAAATATAACTCCAAATTACAACCATGTGAATCAGGAATTTAACTGTGTCCTTGGGTGAGGTGAGTTATTATAAAGCTATTTGCACAATTTGGAGTGAGCAAGTAAAGATAATTTTCCAGGTGGAAGATGACAAAAGGCCCATTTTGAAAAACTTATAACTCAGTGACAATACAGATGATACAGTCAACGGCTTGACCACTGATGTATCCCATTGGATGTCCTGTGTGGGGTGTATAAATGTATATAAAGGGCTTTTCTACCCATTAATGCTGTTTATCACATGATGATGGTGTAAGCTGAAATGCTGGGTTTTGATTCGGCACTATGATGTTTTGCAGTGATGTTGAGCCAGTCCTCCTCCTCTTTTAAGCAGCTTTTATAAACCGAAAATCTGTTTCTCACGAGGAAACTGGGTGCAGTTTGAAATTCTGTACCAAGCTCTTTTCTTTCATTCTTTTACACTATCACGTACATGATTCATTAAACTACAACTTTCAGAAGTCACACAGTTGTCTGAGAGGGACAAAGGCCATAGTTGTACTTTGAACAGCTCGGCTCCACATCACATAAACTTCATCATCTGTCCAAGAGTCATAGACGTGTCCTCCAAGTCAAATGCAAAGTAGCATAATAGCAGCAACTACGTGCATAATCCAGGCTTAAGGATCCTTTCACTGCAGCTTCGACTGTGGACACAAGTTGGTTGTGCAACAGGTTGTTACAACTCTTAGTTATGCTTCGTTGGTAGGTAACCTCTATCGGCCATATTAAACAGCATCAGCAAAAATTCCCAAAATGCTCAAGTGATGTCACCCTCTAGTGGCCAGTAGAAGTGCAGCGATGTTGTTATAGAGCAACCGGCGTCGCTTTGCCAGCCTGTTCTGTCGTACATTATGGTCTTGCTGCACATTCTCCTTTAGGGGGAAAAAAAAAATGCTCTGGCTTGTTTGTATGTCTTTAAACCAATCACAGTGGCTGTAAGTGGAGCAAAGCAAAGGATGTGGATTCGCCGTTTCCTCAAAATAGTGCCGGCTGGAATTGTTGTGGTGGAACATGTACATGCAAGGAAATGAGCACTGTGATTAAAAT